TAGTAGGTAATGTAAGTGTCTAAATCGGTAGAAAATCACATTTTCTTGATTAAATACAAAACCTCCTTTAAAATTTACAAATCGCCAATAAAAATGACAAAACGGCAATAAAATTGACAAAAAAATTCAACAAAATTGACAACAAATCGAAATAAATGTAACAAAACAAACAATAAAATTAACATTACGTTCAATGAAATTGCCAGATTGAGAAAATAATTTTGACAATATAGGCAATAGAATTGTCAAATTAGAAAATAAATCTGACGAAATGGTTATAAAATTGACATTTTTTGCAATAAATTTGACGTAAATTTATCTATTTGGTGCTTGCTATTGTCAAATTTATTGCAAAAAATGTCAATTTTATATATATATTTTTTATATAGAAATAAATTTCTGATTTTTTCGTCAAACTGAACAGAAATAAAAATTATGTATTTCGTTCATTTGTTGTAAGCAAAAAAGTAAACTCAACCAAATATTGAAAGAAAACAACTAATAAAGTGCAATTAATCTCAAAATGTAAATAATCAAACAAAATTGTTGTTTCATTGAAACATGAGCGGCCGAATTGTAGATCGCTGGCAAATTTCAATTTTAAAAATGTAAACAAAGGAGAATTGACACATGACAGCTCAATCTGACATTTTATAAATTTACGATAGGTGGCCAAAAAGCAAGTTATCACTTTTTCGTTTTCAAAAACAGAAATATATTATAATTTTATTATTTATTCGTGTGCTAGAAAATATTATTTTCACCCAGAATCATTAAAAATGTTTTCTTCAAATTAATATTGACGAAATTTGAATAATGAAGTAAAAAAATGGTAAATCGTGCATATTATATGTAGACAGACAGCATATATATGCAAGTATTACCATTGTGCAACTATTATGCTGTCACAGCATTTAGGGATTCATTTAAAATCTTCCTTAGGAATCCTCACCCTAGGCAGTTTTTTCGTTCATGGACATAATGCGATAGCTCGAATGAAAATGCGGCAGAAAAAATCAGCAAAAGCCTTTAATGTTTCAAACGCTTCGGATGGATGGCGCTGTCAGAAGCTCTCTGAAGCACATTAGAAGTGGTGAATGTGATTATGACAGATCATATTTGTGTTTACGTTTAGAAACGTTGACTGTCAAAGTAGAGAATGTTCTGTTAATATAAATAAAAATACCAACATGGCGGGCCAAAATACTGTCATGGCGAATATCTTTCTCATTAAACTACACATGAAAATATCTCGAAAACGGCTGGGAAAATCGGCAAAATGGACCGTGGTGTCACTCCCAATAGGGAGTGTAGACACCCGGCTGGTTTGATGGCCCAAAGTTCAAATCCGGTGGATTTGAGCTCATCCATGGGTTCTCGGGATTTGGCCTGATCCCAGCACTTGCCCTGTGGTGAAATTCCATACAAAACATGAGTGTGACTTGTAAAGATGCTCACAGGAAAGGAAAAGCTGGGAATCAGACCAAATCCTGAGAGCCCATGGATCAGCCCGAATCCACTGGATTTGAGCTTTGGGCCATCAAACCAGCCGGGTGTCTACACTCCCTATTGGGAGTGACACCACGGTCCATTTTGCCAATTTTCCCAGCCGTTTTCGAGATATTTCGATGTGTAAATATTTATTGGTTTTAATTTACCACTTAAGAGGTGAGTTTGGATAAATTAGCAGAAAAGCGTATTAAAGTTCGAAATATTCCATCATTCTAAGATATTTTCACTAGAGGCGCTCTTACAAAAATCCATCCATTCAGCCTCCATAAGAAGCAATGTATTGCTATCGGATTACGTTCATGGATTCGTTTATTTCGTCGCATACTATCGCGCTCCTGTCTCTATTCCAAAATTCGACTTGGTTTTAGTTCTATATTCTTGAGTTGAAATATTTGTTCAACATGATCCATTATTTCGAAGAGAGTTATGATTATGTCGATAGTAAACTTAAGAATCCTCACCCTAGGCAGTTTTTTCCTAAGGGGAAAGATCAATTTTTTTCCTCTGAATAAGCCTCAATATAACAAATAATGATAATTTGTAACGATTCTATGACCTTTTACAAATATTTAACCGATATTTGAATATTTCGCCGATATACCAATATTTCGTACTAAAATTGGTAGAGATATTTTGGTGAAGCGCATTTAAGCTATTGCTCAAGTATCGCGTACTTAAGCCATTGCTCGAGTACCGCGTACTTAAGTACTTATTTATCAGTAGACTTATAATGTCATTTATTTCTAGACCAGTACTACGGCAATTAAGTACTATCTTAAGTACGCGGCACTTAAACTTTATCAAGTGTCATGAACTAAACATAATTCGTAGGATAATTCATATGTGATTGTTCATAGCTAGGTTTATAGAAAATAATAATTAAAAATAAATGTAGATTCTGGTTTCTATTAATTTTTTATTTCATGCATAATCAGTTTTCAAAGATTCGTTTGATATAAGAAGCAGATACAGGTAGAAGTATAGCGTTAGGTACAACGCTTTAACCAAAGGTACGTGGCACTTAAACGTGAATTTAAACGAATTCGCTGATGTATTGTTATTTTTCAAAAATAAGCGTTTATCTGCATATTGGCAGATATCGGCGTACATCGGTCTCTATTGTTCTATATTTTTATGTTGAATTCACATTAAATGTACACGATTGACACGAATATTCAATTTATTTGACCAATTCACACCAATATACCAATGAATAACGATGAATAGCCAATAACATAGATAATAGCGTACGACCAATTGATCTTTCCCCCTAGGTATCATCATACTCAATTGCTGTTGATGCAAACAAGACATTGAATACCATGGCATTTGGTACAACTCATTCACAATAGCCTCGTTCTACAAGATAAGATTAAAATAAACGATAAGAATACACAATTAAAAACATGATTTTGTTCGGTTTACCGCTTCCTTGACGTTCTTGGCCATGTTACATATGATAATCGATTGAATGTAACAGCAGAATGCACATTGCACAACCATATCCAGCTACTAATCCCATCAGTAACCAGAATTCAATTTAATAAATTTCATTTCATAATGTGTACTATGAACAATATTTGATCGAAATTAGAATATATTGAGCGAAAATCGAAACACTGATTGAGTATGTAAATGTAAATGGGGCCTGGAACGATTTCACATAGTAAATATCGTTGCAATCCTTTGTGTAGCTGAAATGAGGAAATCATATGAACAGCATGCTGATTGAATATGGAAAACGTGAAATTACCGATCGAAATCTTGCAGTTTCATAAAAATGTTGCGCAATCGAAGCGTTGCCCTTAAGAACATTCCTTCCGTCTCCATTTTAGTTGTCAATTCTTCAATATCCAAATGAATGATCTTCGGAATCGTCATGATTGTATCATTTGTTATGCCTGCACCAATCTCGATACTAACGTAACCGGTTATAAAAATCATATCAAAAGTCTAACATTGAATATTAGTATATTATAATAATTAATTCTAGTGACGCAGCATGAATCAGCAAAAAAACAAAAAACTTTCCCAAAATCGCAAGACTCCCTATAACTGTTTGCAGTCCAAGATTCAATAAATATCCAGTTTCAGAATCTTCGTCAAAAACGGTAGTTTATTGGCAAAAAGTGTGGATCTTATGTTCAGAAAGAAGAATGCATAGACGGGTCCAACACTAGATAGCAAAACCGAAGTGATAAGCAAAACTTCGATTATTATAAGCTCTTTTACAAGTCTTTCGACCGTTTTCTCGCAAACGGTATGATATTTCGACGGTTTATTATCGACCAAGTAGATATATTTTCCTGCCCAACAGCATACGCTTTTGGTTTTGGAGCGTAATGGCTCAACTGAATTATAATACATCGGCGTCAACTGTTGGAACAGGAATGTTGTAGAATATTTCAATAATTTATTTTAATTTTTGAGTTCATACACATATGTACGTATCGTGGTGACGGTACTAATAACGCAGGTACATTCCATGCTTCTTAGAAATGCACCCTTTTTCATATGAAACTGGATCGTATAAATCTCCATTGCAAAATAGAGCGCTATCATTGCTCCACAAGAGTAAGAATACCAATTCACTTTCAAATCGAGAAAAACATGTATGCCAATCGAATAAAGCATAGCGCTACCCAAATCGTTTATTGATTGCCATTTCTGTTTGGGCGTTTTTATACGCCATTCTCTTTGCAATGACTTGAATTTTTCAAACGGATTGTACATAGGTTTTACAAACGTTCGACAAATACCGCAAACGGTGATATAAAAACGTTATTTTGTTGTAGTGTTTTATTTTGACAGTTCAAAATACCGCAGAAATAACGATATAAAACGAAAAAAACGGTTTTTGGGCGTTATATAACGGCTCTGTAAAAAAACGTTTTTAGGAAACACTGAAAAAAATAACGCGTTTTTAAACCCTAATTGTACATGACTGCGGATAAATACTAGACCAGTTTGTTCAATCGCCAACCTGCAACAAAACTAAACTGAGTGATTATCTAATTGATGTAACTGTAATAATTAAGTAGAATTCAAATCGCATATAATTGAAAGGATAATTAGCCGAATATGTAGAAATAATTGTTCAGACATTGGGAAATATGATGCTAATTGTGTTTGAAAAAGTGATCCTTGTGTTGCCAAGGACAAATTTAACGTAAGCATGATGATTATGGAAGCAGAACAGAATTGATGCGCAATAAGTCGAACATCATATATTATTAATCCTTGAAGCATTTTTTAAACAGAATAATTATGTTTCAATCCACAATTGTATTGTGCTTATTGTATTTGAACAGGTGATCCTTGTGTTGCCAGGCGCCAACACAATTGACATTTATGCTTATAAGCATCACGAATAAACATTTTTAGGCTTTTTTTTAAATTTCATTTTATTTACAATGAGGAAATGTACATCGTGTATTCTTTGCTTTTTTGGAAAACAGTGTTGTTTTTTCCCCATGATATTGTTTTGACTTCTATCAGTCACGGCCGCACAAAATTGAATGATTGTTCAGATGCCAACTTTGATGTTACAGATTTTGTTGATTACCTTAGAAAATTATTAAGATATTGTTTGGTCAATCAATCTATTATAATTTCATTACCAATAATGTATTTACATTCAAATGTTTGCGATCTATGTAGAATTTGACTTTTGAGCGTGGGAATCCGTTGAAAGAGGTTGCGACCGGAATAGTGTATGCACCCATATTTTGGAATATGATAAAATCGCCGATGTCCAATTCTGGCAATAGAACATCTTCACACACCTGTAATAATGTACTTATATTCGCTGCTGACTTACGATTCAATCTATTTATAATTATATTTGTCTTACGATATAAATACGAACACTGTCGTTATACGGATTATCACATTATTTCAATGAAGATAAGATAAGTCTTTTCAGTGTTAGTTATCTTGTCATTATTTTACCTGATCAATCGAAGCAGCTGTTTGGCCCCAAATGATACTTTTAAACAATTCCTCATTCTCTGACTTCAATGTCGTGGGATGTGCAAAACTTTTATCAAACAAACAGTTTATGAATGATCCAAATACACCGTCATTGATGTGATACATGAATGAATCGAATTTCCCATTTCGATAAACTTTACGCATCGAATGAATGCGACAAGCTAATGTAAAAGCTGATGATACATAATATCGACCTGGTTCCGCAATAATATCAACATTTGGTGATGGGAAATACATTTCTATACTGCGATTCACAATCGATGCAATCTGCGAAGAATAATGGTTTTTGATTACAATCATATTTCGGCCAGTAAAGAGCCATAACACACACGCACACACCTCCTCGATATCCGTGCCTATTTCACCCGGAAAACCACCACCAATATCCAATAGTGTGAAGTTGTAATCAATACTTGCGGCAAAATCAAACAATTTGCGCGACAGCTGGATTGCCCTTTCATAAGCGGATGACTCCATACAACCACAACCAACATGAAAACTTATTCCAATCATCTAAATCAAACATTTAATTGATTCACAAACAAGTATCAGATAGGAAAAAAAAACTTTTGGTTTAAAACATACGTTCAAATCTAAGGATTTTGCCAATTTAATGAGTCCTTCTGCTTCTTTGTCCGGATCGCATCCGAATTTCTTACCAAAAGGTAACCATCGTGTAAATTTTGCATCGCAACGAATGCGTAAAACCAACCTAAAACCAGAATAAATTATCAATAACTGAAAAAAAACCCATCAAACTTCCAAACTGCCTACTTTGCATCGGGATAGTGTTGTTTGATTTTGTGAAGTTCATAATCATTATCAACAGTCATAACACTAACGCCCCTTTCACGGGCATACTTGAGATGTGAAACCGATTTAGTTGGATTAGCATATATAATCGACTGTGGAGCAACACCACAGTTCATGACCATTGCAATTTCTCCCTTGGATGCGCAGTCGAAACCGGTTCCCAGTGTGGCCAAAGTCTGAAGCACGATAGGGCTATCATTGCACTTAACCGCTATAAAGATAGAAATCTTTTAGTTTTATCTATGATATGGAGATAAAGGGGAATTTGAAATACCGTAAAATGGAATTACACGTGGCATGCATTTCTTCCAAAGTTGATGCTTCTGAATGATATTGGAAATATTGCAGATATAGAATGCCTCGTCATCCATATCATTGGACATTGATGTTTGTCGAATCATATCTATATCATCAACTGGTTGGTCAACGATTTGAAATCCAGTTGATTCGCTGAATTCTTCAATTCCCACTCTTTGTTTTTCTTTTGACATGGTATCAAATCACCAACGTTTTTTTTTACACCGGATGATAAGAGAGAATTTGTTGCAAAGTCAACAGTTCGGCTGAAACTAGTAATTGTAAGAATATATGGTTCAGTAAATCTAGCCCACAATTTGAGACCCAGTTTGTTGATTGCATATCGCAAATGTGTTCATTAAAATTTCAAAGAACACAATTTCAAGGTAACAAAATCTACATTTTTCTCCCTCAATAGTTTGCATGAAAAATTTATGGCATGAATCAGTAAAAATCAACGCCTTGGGTCAAAGAAGTGGAAAATTATAATTAAAAGCCGCCAATAAAACTAACTTGCTGTACCGAATTAGAAACAAATCAATATTTGATGCACAACAGATCATCTATATGACGTTGATTGATTCACTACAAAAAAAAACCTAAACTCAACAATTTATTAACATGTTTGTCAATAATTCGTTTTTTTATTGGAATATGCCTACACTGAGAAAAACTTTTCTGAAAAGATCACAGATGGCGTTTGTAAGTGGTTAGTTTCCAAACTTTGTTATATGGAGGTTGTGAATTGTCAAACTTTTTTTGCAATACGATATTACCGAAAAAGTTGGACAATTCGCAACCTTCATATAAAAAAGTTTGGAAACTAACCATTTACAAACGCCATCTGTGATCTTTTCAGAAAAGTTTCTCTCAGTGTATTAATCGGTCAGCAATTGGCATTTACCAATAGTTTTTGGCCATACAATAATCGAGGAGAAATCATTCAAAATTAATTTTTTGGTAATTCGTTGAACAAAAAGTAATTTTGAAAGTAGTTTTTCGCCAAAAAATTACTTTAAAAATTACTACAAATTACTTTTTATTCGATAAATTGCTTTTCTATTAGAAATCACTTGTCAAAAATATATTTTTCTATGATAAAATGTAATTTGTAATTCTTTAAAAAAAGTGATTTTCCCCTTGACAAAAATGTTTTAATAAAAATATAATATATAATTTGTTTCCATGTGCCTATCTGTGCAAATATTACCTAATTTATGCAAAAAGCCAGGTTTTTTTCAACGAGGATTGAAAATTATTATTTCAACAGTTCGTGCACACTTTTCCGGCCAAACCTCTGAATAAAACCGTTACTTTCTTCAGTAAACTATTTTCAA